CGTTGCTAAAAAATGTCAAGACTGACGCCGGAAATGCTAATATTAAATAGGTGATACAAAAGAACACGAGACGATAGGATCTTACACTGATTCTAGCCTGAGGTACGATACGTTTATATATTTTTGAGGTGATTTTGAGGCGAGGTTTGTTTCAGTCTTTATTAAAAGTTACATTTTACACTGAGTTGTGAGGTAATCGACAGCTTAACTTTATTGCAGACACTTAATATGGTTAATTTTATTGTATATTTGAAACTTTATTAAGAAATATAATCCTAAGACACTTGTTCTAAAAAAATTTTTTTTTATATTCTCATTTTTCGCTTATTTTTATGTAAGTTATCGGTTAATATAATAAAAAAATCTCTTACAAGAGTACGAATTTTTCAACATTTTATTTTTATATTATGTTTGACATTTTAACATTTTTGACTATACATGAAGAAATAATAAAGTAAGAACTAATGCGGCATTTAATCTAAAGTTGCTGAGAATATCTTGGCTTCTATGCGCTTCTACGCAACTTGTGCATTTTAAGCTGATATAGTTATGGAAAAAGAGTTAATTAAGTGAGATAATTTGAGGTCTTAATAAGGAAGTGAAGCCGTACATGTGCGTATACGCATTTATGTATTGAGGGTACACACCGATCAGGAAAAGGAACCTCTTTATTCAATGTGTTACACGAATACGTTCCATCAACTAAAAAACCAGAACCACATAGACTTTGTTATTTACAAAAAAGGTAATTATTGGACCCTATGATTCAAATTTGGTAAGTTCCTTGTTTTCAAATTTTAAATATATGATCAAACGTCAGCTTTATGTTTATTCGTTAAGAATTGATTCATAATGATAATTTTTTTGTTTCCTTTTCTTGGAAACCCTTTGTCTAGATTCAAATCAAGATGCTAATGCGCGATACGATCTAGTTTTTTTTTTTTTTATGCGTAAGTAGTTAAACGGCCATTGTGCTTTTGACAATGCACCGTCATACTCTTTTTTTATTCATCAATCTGCAAATTACTAATTTCATCAAATATGAGTATTCAATTACATAAAAAATAATATAAACTACTCCGCATTTCTTTGTTAGTTTTGCGATTTCATGTCATAGCAAATTACAATCAATAGCAATTTCTTTGTCGCTTGGATGTGTATAATTTAATAATTTAAAGACTTTTTTCTCTTATTTCTGCTGGATCCTTTATTTTTCTCCCTTGAATTAGTAAAAATTTATTTTATTATTTCTCTTCTTTTTGGGAGAAAATCATTAAATAGAGGAAGATAAATTACATAAATTATACATAAGCTTGATAAGTATCCGGGATACTTTGCAGTCATCTTCCCTCCATCCCTGCTATATTTTCTCTCTATTATTTTTCCATCCAGATAGAAAATTATATTACTCATTCTCTCATCAGTACATTCCTCTCCTCTACACACGTGTATGCATTTTTATTAAAGATGGCTGATTATTTTTTCACTACCGCGACAGGCTTGTCAGTATTATTATGCATCATTCCAGGAATATTCTATATCCAAACACGGAACTGGGGTGTAGTTCTCATGATATTTTGGGCAATAGCAACAAATATCATACTTTTTATAAACTCTATACTTTGGGCCGATGATCTAGATGATAAAGCTCATATTTATTGTTTGATTTCTACTCCAATATATGTTGGTGCAAACATTGGGCTGTTGACTTCTATTTCGTGTATGATTTATAATCTTTACACTCTCATCGCATGCCCTACGATTGTGACTGAGCGAATTAAAAGAAGACAAACAATTAGAGATTCCGGCCTTATAATTGGGGGACCTATAATTCTTACGGGATTCAATTATTTGGTTCAAACACATAAATATGGAATTAGACCTACTTTAGGTTGTTTCCCAGTCGAGTATATAAATGGGTTGTTTTTTTTGGTACATGGAATATGGCCCGTTATCATTGCTATTATTGGTTGCTATTATGCAGGTACGTAGATTATTAAATTATTAAAAGACTATATTGTATATGAAAATATGCGTCGAAAAATTCATAATTTGATTTCTTTTTTTTTCTTTTTTTTAAGCACGCACAGCCTATTCGATCATGAAAAAACGACTTGAACTCAAATCTCTTTTGAGGCGTACTGAGTCTGGTCTTAATAGTGCAAGATTCTATCGTCTCGTGTTCTTTTGTATCACCTATTTAATATTAGCATTTCCGGCGTCAGTCTTGACATTTTTTAGCAACG